TCGGGAATGGAAGTGCCGCAGTTCCTCTGTCCATGGTGCAGATCCCAGGGGCTGGACCTACCTGGCCAGGGCCTCGGCACCACATTCGGCCACATTGACCTTGCCCCAGAGGCCGGTGATGAGCTGCTTCTCCTCGGCTGACCAGTGCACCATGGTGTCGGGCGGAGGCTTTGACTGCGGCTTCTCTGAACAATGGAGGAAATGGAGCCAGAGTCTGCCCAGGGATTTTTATACACTAGTAACGGCCTGTGCTAATCTCAGTTCACGAAGCCATTGGTTGGGGCTGCAAAAGGAAAGATAGCGGTTTTTGATGCTGTCCCAAAGTAGGCCCTTTCTCCCCACTGTCTTTGAGTGGACAAGCATCACCGCATCCCCATGCTCTTGTATTCACAGCCCGAAGCACAGGTTGAGCTGTCTGTGTGGCTCCTCTCCAGTCTAGGTATCCAGTATTGCAGAGGTAGCTGGAGGCTGGGGGCTGAACATGGGCTGCAGACCCAAGAAGACAAGCAATAATGTTCAAAGAGTTTGTATTCTCCTCCTTGACCATGTTTTCAGACCCTTGATTGTGTTCTGTACTCCTGAGATACACCCCAAACAGCTCTAGGTAGGCATCATCCACCCCAGCTCAGAGGACCAGAAGTTCAGGAAACAAGGACTCAGTGATCACCCCAAATCTAGGCCCCATGCTTTAAAAGCAAGAGCCTCCTTTCTTGTCTGCCCTAGCAAAGACCTTCAGAGTTGTCCATAGTCATGGAGGGACATGGAGATGCTGCAAGGACTGGAGCAGCTCTGCTCTGGAGCCAGGCTGAGAGAGCTGGGCTGGGGCAGCTGGAGAAGAGAAGGCTCCTGAAGGGGACACCTTAGAGCAGCTCCAGGGCCTAAAGGGGCTCCAGAAAACCAAGAGAGGGGCTTTGGACAAGGGATGGAGGGGAAGGACAAGGGGAATGGCTTGAACCTGCCAGAAGGGAGACTGAGATGAGCTCTGAGCGGGTGCTGGGGCGTTGGCACAGGTGGCCAGAGAAGCTGTGGCTGCCCCATCCCTGGCAGTGTTCAAGGCCAGGTTGGACACAGGGGCTTGGAGCAACCTGCTCTAGTGGAAGGGGTCCCTGCCTGTTGCAGGGGTTGGAGCTGGAGGAGCTCTACAGTCCCTTCCAACCCAACCCATTCCATGACTCCATGATTGTTGTCCATGCTGTTCTGAGCCTATGCTCTCTGTTTCCCAGGAATTCCTATAATTTTAGAGCTTGGATGCCCCATTACTCTATGGGGCTGATTGACTGTCCCTCAGTCTAATAACTGGGTAACTTGGGGCACGGTTGTGAACTTGACCAAATCACAGCTGGGCTGTGCACCAAGTAAAAGGCAGAAGCAGCAGGGAACCATGTTTTTAGACTCCTGGCAGAAAAATGCAATAACCCTTGTCTGCATGGCACGGGGTGAGTGGTTTTGCTCTATGAGGCACCAGCACCGACACACTCCTGAGTGCTGACATTGCTTATACTGGAAAAGAGTTCTCATACCCCTAGAGAAATAAGCTTTGTCCTAGAAAAGCAGCATTTCTACTGCTGGTTGTGCTGTCATGACCACATTGCTTGTTCCCATTAAATAACTCGCCCTTGCAGGGCTGGTCTCTCTCCTCAAGCAGGATGAAGCCTGTTGTCTTGCTGCCTTCTTGGCAACTGTCATTACAAATCTGAGGAGCACTATGCTGTCTCTTATCTGTCTGCTCCAAATAACATTAAGTTCTTCCAGCAGGTCAATACCATCCTTGCAGTTACTATAGCTTCAAAAGTGTGACTTTTTTCCACCCTCCTATTTGACAGGGCACCTCAATCTAAGCTCTTTCCCACTAACAGGAGAGGCTGTCAAAGAATCGAAGCATTCTTACCAGTGTAATTATGCAAACAGGGCCCTGATGCACTGTAGGATGCACTTCAGGTCATGGAAGGAGGCTGTGATACAGCCAGGGATAAGCTTTGCCTCCATCTGTAACGGGTGACCTGGCCTGAGGCTGGCTTCTCTCACTGCAGCTCTAGTCCTGCTCTGTGTCAGTTCATGCACATGCTTCATCAGTTAACATTGACCTGGGAAATGAGGAGGCTGCAGTGTCAGTAACTGCTCCATGGACACAGATTCCAGACTCTGTTAGCAGAGATGGTGGCGTCCATCCTCAGCACCACCCCACAAGGGCAGTTGCAAATGCCCATCCCAGGCATGAGATGCTAAACCAAGAGAAGCAGCCAGGGGTGAACAGCTCCTGGGGCCTTGCTGAGCTTCACCTCATCTCTCCTTCCTCCTCCTCCAGCCCTGTCCCCACCAGCCTATGTGGCTTCTCCTCATTCACTGCTGTGGCAGCAGCATCTCCCAAGCTCCCGGTGTCCCTGACAGGGAATATCCTTCCATCCTGGCAAGTGATTCCTTCCAAGTGCTTTTCACATCATCTCCAGCAATTATGTTAGTGCCACAGGGCAGTCATCAGCTGGGAGAGAGGGCGAAAATGAGATTAGATTCCCTGTGAATGACTTCCAGGAGCTCTTCAGTTGTCAGATTAGTCAGCAGCAGAGACACTCTAAGGTGAGCAGCCACACTGGGCAGGCCCAGGGGCTGTTCACAGCACGCAGGCAGTGGTCCATAACGCTGTCAGCGACACCAGCTCACAGCCAGATACAGCCCCAGAAGTGCCTCAGGGATATCAGCGTTTTCCCAGCCAGGACACCAGGAGGATTCATGGCCCTTTGTGCTGGGGACAGCAGAGACACTTGCCAAAAGCAAAGTTCTGAAAGCCCAGACAGCCCGGACATGCCACACAAGGCCCTGTGTTCCGGATGTGGCTTCTCCAGGATCCACATCATCCATTTTGGAGGAAAAACATTCATTTTGAGCACATTTTGACCACTGCTCGACGGGCAGGGAGCAGCAGCCAGGCTGGCAGCGTGAGGATGCTCCGAGCTCCCAGCACAGAGCTGTCTGCCGAGGGGGCTGTTTGGTGGCCCAAGATGGGAGGGGAAATGTTCATCACAATGTGGCAAGTGGAGGCAGTTTCTGTTGCTTTCTCTCCATTCACAGTTGAAAGCAGATCCTTCCCCTGGTGCACCCATAGCAACACCTGGCAGCATCCTTATCCCCAGTAGGAAAGCTGTCTGCCTGGGATGGATGTCACTGTGCTCAGGACTCCTCCCTGGAGCATCCTGCCAGCTCGCTGATCCCATTGGTGTGAGTGGAAGATGCCCATAGTCATTCTTCATCCCATGGCCCCACACTGAGCCATGCCCACTTCCATGGATGGGGACATTCCTTTTCATAGGAATCCTAGCAATGGTAAAAGGCAACTCTCGGAGACAAGCTGAGTTTGTCGGTCACTCTGATTGCAGCAGTGTCTCACGCCAAGCTTCACCAGAGCCCTTATCAGCAGGAGCGGTGGCATCTGTGCCCAGCCTCCGCTGCCTGGACCCAGGCCAGACCCTTCTCTCCTCTACAACATGCAATCTGCTGTGTCTTGAGCAGTAGGTCTCGAGTGCCTGGTTACCACTTTGTGTCACAGAATGAATCATAGAACCACAGCGTGGTTTGTGTTGGAAGGGACCTTAAAGCTCCTCCAGCTCCAGCCCCTGCCCCTGGCAGGGACACCTTCCACTAGAGCAGGTTGCTCCAAGCCCCTGTTTCCAACCTGGCCTTGAACACTGCCAGGGATGGGGCAGCCACAGCTTCTCTGGGCACCCTGTGCCAGCGCCGCAGCACCCTCCCAGGGAAGAGCTTCTGCCTCAGAGCTCATCTCAATCTCCCCTCTGGCAGGTTCAAGCCATCCCCCTTGTCCTGTCCCTACATCCCTTGTCCAAAGCCCCTCTCTTGGTTCCCGGGAGCCCCTTTAGGCCCTGGAGCTGCTCTAAGGTGTCCCCTTCGGGAGCCTTCTCTTCTCCAGCTGACCCAGACCCACTCTCTCAGATGTATTCCTGAATCATGCAGAACAAGGTTTCCTCACTCCGAGCCACCACACGTCTGCCCTCACCACTCATTAAGTTATTCCTGGTAAAGCACTGGTGGAAGCAAAGTGCAGGATCCTCCCATTGCAGTGAAAAACATTCTCCCATTAAGCCAGTCTGAGTGAAGCAATAACCTCTACTCAGGCCTGTTCACAAGCTGCCCTCACCCCCCGCCTTGGGATCATGCACGCTTTAGATTCCCTGTTCTGACCAAAGTGCACACGAGTCATGGCAAGAGCATTCTCATTGCTCATCCAGAAAGTGCTTTTGAGCAGCATCTGCAGAACACACCAGCACAGGAATGGGAAGGGATAGATTTCTGCCCAACTTATGACGGCTTCAGTGAATCTCCATGGATTTACCCCTTTACACACACCACAGGTTGGGAGGCTCAGGCCAGAGGGGCCCTTGCTTGCCCTGCAGCTGGTCTTCTGCACCCTCCTGGGTGATTTCAGCAAGCCCAGAGCCACTGGATGGGCTGGGATGTGCTCATCACTGGTTCAGAGGCCAGTATCCCCTGAGGTCCCACCAGAGCTCTGTATGTGATGGGCACTCTGCACATGATAGTCCAGCCCATCTTCCCCCTTTTCCCCCCTCCTGCCCCACAGGCAGCCTCAGGGACACAGGAACACACTAAGAATTCCAGGAAACATGGGTTTTTATTGACTGTCACAGACACATCGCCCTGCAGAGGGTTTAATGGTACTTGTAGGCCAGAGCATGGGCCACCACACTGACCAGCTTCTGCCAAGTGGCCTGGCAGGCAGGGGTGAAGTCCTTGGTGAAGTGTGCAGCCAGCACAATGATGAGGATGTCTCCCAGGAGCTGGAAAGGAGAAGGAGGGGAAAAAGGTCAGAATGGTGTTGAGCACCCCTTCCCCTGCCAGGACCCCATCACTGGTGGGGCCTGGAGGCTGCGACCCATTTTCGGTGTAGGAACACAGCCCTGTGCTGACCATACACAGCAGCAGCCACCTCCTCTGTCTCTGCTTCTTCTCACACCTTTTTTCCCAGCTCTAGACATTATTTGCAGACACTTTTTGTCTTTTTCCTGCTGTGAAGGCCCAGGACTACGTGGGTTTGGGCACTGCGAGGTCTGCTTGTCACATCCCAAAGTCAGGCTTGAGCAGAGATTGAACCAGAAGCTGTCAGCCCCATCCAGCCCTCTCCATCC